TCGCAATGGCGGTAAAAGTGTCTCCCATTCATGGTATCGATAGAAGGGACTCGTATTTAGGGAACCGCATGAGTATGATTTTTTTCTTCTCTTAGATTTTCAATTTACCTAGCTTATTTTATAGAGATTTGTCCGTTGATTAACAAAAATTGTAAAATATACATGTATTGTTTATTTCTATAGCTATCAGCAAGCGCGAGCATTCGACACGAGAATTGTCTTTGTTTTGAACCCAACTTATACTTTCTTATCGCATTTGCTGCGAGAATACAACGCATGGGGGATCTCATGCGCCGCATGTTGCCGTATCTTAGTTTAGTTTTGATCGCAGGTAACGTGCCAAAGCGATTCGCGCACATGGTCGCGTGCCATCGACGCACTGTGCGCACCTCTTGCTTTCTTATCATAAACTGTCGCGTCGTTGCTTGCACAGTTTGCAGCCAGTTTCGTGCCGCTATCTGGTTGATACAATATTTTACGCGACTCGTATTGTTTGTTTGGATTGGTAGTTTCTTTGATATATTTGATATACTCGTTGCGCTAGGAAATGTAGTTTTCTTGTTATAACACGCGACCGCGGTGTTACAATAAGTTCGGAATAATTTTCCCAGGTGCAGAATTTAAATCTGTATTTTCTTGTATCAAAATTTATTGCAAGAAAATTCCGTAACGCGAGTTATATTGAAAGTTGTGTGTATGCGTACTAGTACTCGTTGCGCTAGGAATTGTAGTTTTATTGATATAACACGCGAACGCGGAGTCTCAATAAGTTCAGCATATTTTTCCCACATGCAGAATTTAATTCTGTATCTCCCTGTATGGAAATTTATTGCAAGAAAATTTCGTAACGCGAGTTATATTGAAAGTTGTGTGTATACGCACTAGCACTCGTTGCGCTAGGAATTGTAGTTTTACTGATATAACACGCGAATGCGGTGTCTCAATATGTTTGGCATAATTTTTCTACATGCAGAATTTAATTCTGTATCTCCCTGTATTAAAATTTATTGCAAGAAAATTTCGTAACGCGAGTTATAATGATAGTTGTGTGTATACGCGCTTGTATTCGAACTCGTTGCGCTAGGAATTGAAGTTTTTTATTATAACACGCGAACGCGGTCTTAAACTTAGTTCGGAATAATTTTCCCAGGTGCAGAATTTAATTCTTCATTTCCCTGTATCGAAAATTACTGCGAAAAAATTCCGATACGCGACTTATATTGAAAGTCTCATTCGGTGTACTGTAACAGGGTGGCGATAGAAGCGATTCGTGTTTAGGGCACCGTACGAAGGTAGCGGTAGAAGTAACTCGTGTTTAGGGCACAGTACGAAGGTAGCAGTAGAAGTGACTCGTGCTCATGGCACCGTACGAGGGTAGCGGTAGAAGTGACTCGTGTTCAGGGCACCGTACGAAGGTAGCGGTAGAANGAAGTGACTCGTGTTCAGGGCACCGTACGAAGGTAGCGGTAGAAGTGAGTCGTATTCATAAAATATAAATTATTTTTGGACGTTTTAGCCCAGGAAATTTAATTATTTTATACTTTTATCTGACAGAAAATTTTCCAAAATTTCATAATATTTAATCCGTTGCCGATAAATATTGAAAGTAACAGTAGAGTCCGTGTATATATGCTATTTCAATATTGTAACTTTTAGTTTAGTATTCTCAACTAAGTGTTTATCAGTACGTTTGTGTATAAACAACTTTTTTTGTTAGAGTGACGCGTGTTATCGCTGCGTACCTGCCTTGAATCGGGCTACGCGCGGCGTGCACGGCAGTCGTTTCACCGCGTGGTCCGCGAGCGTGTCTCTCTAGTCGCCATGCGTTTTGAGGTTTTAATTGGATTAATCGTCGTGTATTCTTTCGGCCATCAGCTAAATATTCGGGACGGACATGTGTGCCTGTTTTGTTTAATGATTTATGGCGGTTAGAGTCTTCTTAAGTGAGAAATAAGTGTCCGTTAATCCCTGCGCGAGTTTTCAGTTGATAGAATATATTTCAGGATAAAAAATTTCCTCATCAATGCACAGGTA